CCATCAATTGTGGAAAGCTGACAGGCGACCATAACTGGTGGAAAACTGAATGGCGCCGCTCCAAACCGAGCGCTCCTCTCCTGACTAAAAATCGAAGCTCACCAGTTAGGCATGAGAGCGTTCTCCTTGCCTCTGAACATAATGCCAACGTTGGTAGCGTGATAGATCGATGAGTAGAAGTCAGTGTAGTCTCCTGAACGGGTCAATATTTAACGTCCTGAATTTTGGGAGCATTCTGTTCTTAGGAATGCACAGTCGTTAAACTCAGTTATTTCTTTCCCGAAGCAGCTCACCTATAGAAGCAGGAAGATGCATCGTGGCGTCTTTCTGGCTTACAATCGCCTTAGCTCTCAACTCTGGGTTCTCCTTGAGTGTTGGGACATCATCCCTGAGTAGTTTCTGAATGATCGCTCGAGCTTCTACCCATGCTGCTCGAGGCAAGCCCATAAAGGCATTCAATGTCTCCTGAAAATGTCAATGAAGCTCGTGTGATTTCGAAGCAACCGCTAGCCTCGCATCCTAGCTCTCAGCTAGTTTTACGGTCTTGTTCGCTGTGGGTGCTTGGGCGCGTCAGGGGCACTGGGCTTGGCGCGGCGCCAACCCATTTTCCTCGCAAAAAAAGGCAGCGACCAGCGACGAGCGACAGTTGTTGGTGGGAAGCGCTGCGCATAACCAGCCCCTCCTCTCTCCCTCCCTCAGACGCTCGACATCACCAGCAAACAAGATGGTATGTAGAGATCCACCTGATCTCTCCGATTCGATAAAAGTAAAAAGAAGATCAAACAAAAAAATCAAAACTGAGTATTCATGCCTGTTTGAAAACGTCTTGATGTGCTTTTAGCGATGGGCTGTCGAAGAGGTGAGCAATGGCGGAAAGATCCAAAATCGATTCGCCTATCGCAACGCCAATACGGTGTTTAGCCTGAAACTTAAGTTCTTAGAAAACTCACAATTCTTTATAGGCCATATCGCGCTATTCTTTCGTTTAAGTCGGTTATCGTTGTGAAATCTTACATTGTCTTTCGTAGAGAACACTCCGTAAGGGAGGTTCTGAATTGGAAAATCCGAACCTTCAGGCACTGGAACGAACGATCTCATGCCTGAAACACAAGGCCGTTGACTTCGCACTGAACAACCAACAATCTGCCATACAAGAAAAAGATCTCTGCGATGAGCAGATTGAATTAGTACGTGGTGGCGCACGAACCGCAGCGCCAAAAAACGGAGACTGGGCTGTTTCTTTGCCTTTATTGAGAACTGGTTCAATGAAGCAAAAGTACGTTTTGTAGATGAAAAGGTGTGCACACTCCCTCCCCATCCCCACCGTTGACTAATTTGAAATCTGTTAAGAAATTGATGGGATGGGAAAAGGGTAGTACCAGAGGAGAAAATTCGGCCCTATTCAACTGTTACTGCACCAAAGAGTCAAGAAAATTTTTTGCAGAAACTTCTGCCCTCAAAGGTGATTCGGTGTCCAGATCACGTTTTCGGCGCTGGCGCCGAATTGGCGCCAGTTTGGCGCCGCCACCTTTCTCACCAAATTGTAAATTTGCATAGTAGGGTTATTTGATGTCCTGATCACGAATACCGAATTAGTTTTCAGCCCTGACGCCATTTGGCGCCATTAGGCGCTGATTTGGCGCCACACCCATTTTTATCAAAATTGATAAAAAAATCACGAATATGACATTATTTTTCGACGCCAGCGCCATTTAGCGCTTTTCTAAGGCTGAGCCTGGGAGAAAGAGTGATTTCCTTCAGGTCAGGCTCAGCAGAGCGCAGATGATCGCAGCGTCTTCCATCAGCGCCAGCGCCAAAAATGAATGTGATATTTGTAATCAAGATGTCAAATAACCTCCGTATACAAGTTTTCAGCGGATTTGGTGATCTAGGGTACCTTGGCGCCGGCGCCAGGCAGTTTCGGGCGGAGCGGATGTGATATTCGTGTTCAGGAGGTCAAACTACCCCTGGGGACAAGTTTTCAGCGAATTCGGTGATTTAGGGTTTTTGGCGCCGGCGCCTGTGGCGCGGGCGCCAGGCACTTTCAGGCCAAGTGGATGTGATATTCGTGTTCAGGAGGTCGAATTACCCCTAGAACCCAACTTTCAGCCAAATCTGCCCCCGTAGAAAAAGTCGATCAAGATCCGGCCTGTTTTCGGAAAACTGGGGTAGTAATAGTTGAATAGTGCCGAAAATTCTTGTGGTGAGGGTCGTAGTTGGTAGAAACTTCCACAACATGATGGTGTGCCCTGCTCCAGACTATGACGACTGCTGGGTCCTCGTCACTCACTGACCAGTCACGAAAATGGGACTGCAGAACGGACTACTCATACAAATGGATTCTACTCATTGAGTGATCGCTTAATGTGTCTTTGAACTTGGACGGTATACCGAATTCCGCCCATAGTGGATGGGGTGTACACAAAAAGTGTGCGGTGCCAAAGACAAAAATGTGTTATTCGGTTCTGAAATGACCCGAAGGCTTAGAGGGAAGGGTAAATCTGAGCAATTGTCAGACGGCTGAAATGTGGGAAACACCCGCAGCGGGCAAGGTCTGCTATGAAAGCAACTTTTTTCGAGGTTCTCCAATGTTTAGCAGCTATGTGACGCGCCGTTAGCGGACGCAGTCAAGCTTGTTAAACTCAAACTTATGGTCGAAAGTCTGTGAAAGCCTTGCTGGGGGGGGGGAACTATAATGCCTGGACAATCAACCAGATATCATCTGCCACCAAAGGTAATAGGAAAGCCCGAATCTGGTTAGATAATGATAAAATGAACAGAAGATAAATGATTTGGCATAAAACAAACTGATCGGTAGAAA